TTTTTTTTTGTTACGTCATGTGTTGTTTGCTATCGTGGTCTGTTGTTTGGAAGAATAGAATTTAAATCGCCGTCAAGATAAATCCGCGTGGTATTGTGAAAGACACTACGAAATATAAAGATGAATACATGAGGAAGTGGGTATGTGTGGATATAGGAAAGTGTGCTTGTGTGTGTTCGATGAGAGAGAAATCAGAAAGGGGGTATGTGATAGACCTACATAATTTTGTGTGTTTAAGGTAGACATATTGGTTATATGATGTGGGTATGTGAGTGTATGTGTTAAGTAAAATAAAGAAAATAAATATATGGAAAAGGGGATATACGGGTGTATATATAATTTTCATATTCATAGACGGAGTAAGATGTGTAGAATTAAATGTATTTTCACTAGTACACCCTTCGTAAACAGATAATTAATCTTTCTGAAAGGAGTAATTCGGAACAAAGTGAACAGGTAATTAATCTTTCTAAAATTAGTATTTCGCAGCGAAGTGATGTTGCCAAGATAAAATCAATCGGAAACATGAAGTTGAACGCCTGATTTCTCTCTCCCCGTCTCCTTCCCTTTTGGGCTCTCGCAATTTCTCCCTCTCCCCTTTTTTCTCGTTATTTCTCAGTATCTCCCTCTCTCCTTCCTTCTCCCTCTCTATCTTTCCTTCTTCCTCTCTCCTCCCTTCTCCCTCTCTCCTATCTTCTCCCTCTCTCCTTCCTTCTCCTTCTCTCCTACCTTCTTCCTCTTTCCTTCTTTCTCCCTCTCCCCTTCCTTCTCCCTCTCTCCTTCCTTCTCCCTCTCTCCTACCTTCTCCCTCTCTCCTTCCTTCTGTCTCCCTGTCTCTGTCTCTAAGTGGCAGGGTGATAGAGTGAGCAAGGCCGATAAGGGTGCATTTTATGTGAACAGAGTGGAATAGACAACAGGGTGGTGACGTAAGGGTGAAAGGGTTGAGGCAGGGTGGCACAGCAGTAGGGTGCTAGGGTGGGAAAAGAGACTCAGAGCTAGGCAAGTTGGCAGGGTGAAGGAGAGGATCTAGGGTCAGGAAGGGTGATTAAATGGTAGGGTGAATAAAGGGAGAAAAGGAAATCATAGTAGTGTTGTTGAGTGACACACTAACAGGGTCGGAGAATAGCAGGGTGAAAGAGGTAATCAGACAGGGTGAAGATACAGGAATAGATTGATAGATAGTCCCCTTGTAGGTAGGGTGACGAAGCTACAAGGGTGATGAAAAAGGGTGTGTGTTAAGGGTAGGAGTGCGGTGGGATTAAGAATAAGGTTTATTATTTATTTGATAAAGCGTGGGAGACAAAAAGGGAACCCGTTTAGCCAATACGGAGGATGATTCTCACGAGGGCAATGGGGGAATGGCAGTAATGCTTGGGAAGAAAGGGTGGGGGGAGGGGGGGGTGAGGAGGTTGCTGTATCCTGAACAGGTCCTTTGTACGTCCTATTTTTTTTCCCCTTCTGTATTTTCTTTTTCTTGTCTTTTTTTTCCTTTTTTCTTTTCTGTACGTTCTTTTTCTTTGCTTTATTTTTTTCTCATGTATGTTCTCATGTTTTTACTTTTCTTTTCTTTTTCTTTAGTATTTTCTTTTTCTTTTTGTTTCGTTTCTGTAGCTTAATTTTTTTTTTCTTTGCTGTATTTTTTTCTTCTTTTCGTTGCTATATTTTCTTTTTCGCCTATCAGTCTCTCTCTCTCTCCCTCCCTCTCTCTCTCTCTCCCTCTCTCTCTCTCTCTCTCTCTCTCTCTCTCTCTCTCTCTCTCTCTCTCTCTCTCTCTCTCTCTCTCTCTCTCTCTCTCTCTCTCTCTCTCTCTCTCTCTCGTTTTACCTTACCCTCTAACTCGCCCAGTTTTTCTCTCTGTAAATCAAAGCAAATGTTTTGAAGGGGAAGGTTGCTTAGCGTGGACTTCACAGTGGATTTTGGGTGGATTTACAAGTGGAGGGCAGAGTGATATACAAGCAGGAAAGTATGCACGCAAATGAGCAGGCAGGCAAGCAGGTAGACAGGCAGGCAGGCAGGCAGGCAGGCAGGCAGGCAGGCAGGCAGGCAGGCACTCAGGCAGGCAGGCAGGCAGGCAGGCAGGCAGGCAGGCAGGCAGGCAGGCAGGCAGGCACTCAGGCACTCAGGCAGGCAGGCAGGTAGGCAGGCAGGCAGACAGGCAGGCAATCAGGCAGGGATCGAGAAACACGATAGCGGGGAAGCAGGCAGACAGGCAGGCAAGCAAACAAGCAGGCAGATAGGCAAGAGGACAGACAAACAGAAAGCAATCAGGTAGGCAAGCAATCATTACGTCTAGGCTATTCAGTAGATAATGAAATAAACAGGCATAGACGGGTGAATAAAGACACACAGATAAGACACACAGTCAAGACAAGCAAATGGTTTTAAAAAGGTGATAGGGCAACCGAGAGGCAAAACAAAGAAACAAAAAAGCAAAACTTAACAAACGGATGAAAATATGTGAACACAGCGTCACAGATAACAAGCGGATAAGAACAGACTGGGATAACTCTTGATTCTCTGCGCCGAAGTTGCAACAAGAATTGAACACGATAGCAGACGATAAGAAAGGGCGATAAATTGATAACAGATTGTGGCGACAGCATTTTTAAGGTGGGGTGGGAGGGGGGATAAGGGAGGGAGAGAGAGACAGAGACAGAGACTGAGACTGAGACAGACTGAGACAGAGACAGAGACAGAGACAGAGACAGAGACAGAGACAGAGACAGAGACACAGAGACACAGAGACACAGAGACACAGAGACACAGAGACACAGAGACACAGAGACACAGAGACACAGAGACACAGAGACACAGAGACACAGAGAGAGACTTTATTGAGAGAGAGGGAGGGATGGGATGGATGGAAGGAGAGAGGCAGAAAGGGAAAAAGGGGAGGAAGGGAAAGAGTAAAAACGAAAGGAGGAGGAGAAGAACAAGAACGATAACAAGAATGAGAAAAGAGAAAAAACACGCAGATGGAAGAAAAACATAACTAACTAGGTAGAGAGAGAGGGGGGGGAGGAGAAAGAAAACGTGAGAGGAAATGGAAAGGGGAAGAGAGAAAACGAGAAAGGCCAACTAGGATTATCGTTCGTCAATGTTGCCTTGTCGTGGTTGCAAAGCGGGTGGGGGGGGGAGGGTTATGGGGTTACTAGCAAGCACGCTAACTGGGGCGGCCAAGGTCATTCAAGGGGGTGGGGGGGGAGGGAAGAGATTGAGGGAGGATGGGTGAGGAAGGATGGAGCGCGGGGCAGGGTGTGAGGAGGAGGGAGAGAAAGTGTTGAGGATTAGGGACAGATTGTATGAGAGAGAGAGAGAGAGAGAGAGAGAGAGAGAGAGAGAGAGAGAGAGAGAGAGAGAGAGAGAGAGAGAGAGAGAGAGAGAGAGAGCAGACCAGACAGACAGACAGACAGATACAGACAGATACAGACAGACAGGCAGACAGACAGGCAGACAGACAGGCAGACAGACAGGCAGA